AGAGAGGCACGAGGAACAATGGCCTATACAAACCTCCATGTGGTTGGAAGCATTCCATATCTGCCATCGACCGGGTCAGGCACCCAGAAAGGTAAGCATCCCAAAACAAACCCCCTATTCTGGTTAAGAAATTGCTACTGAGAGCCAATCTAGTGGACAGAATTCCCCAAGCAAAAATCGAGCAAACGAGAATGAAGTCACTGTCACCGCACCACTGTCTGCGCAGCTTCCTCCCGGAGAGGGAGGGAGCTGCGCAGGGGGGGGGGGGGGAGCCCCAGACCCCTCGCACCTGCTATCCAAAACCTTAGTTCTGAGGCTAGGTATCAAAATACGCAAAAAAAGCTGACCGGAGGGAAGGAGGGTTGCCAGGGAGCCTCCGGGTCTCACCCAAAAAATGGCGTTTCACTATATTCAACGCTGGTTTTCTGGGGGGAGCCCGGTCGGCTCCCCAAGCTACTTGCCGAAAGACAAAAATCAAGAGGGACTTACCCTTATGGACTTACAGGGAGCCGGTCGGCCGAGCGGACAGCACATTGGATTTGTGATCCTGTGGTCCCGGGTTCGATCCCGGGCGCCGGCGAGAAACAATGGGCAAAGTGTCTTTCACCCTATGCCCGTGTTACCTAGCAGTAAAATAGGTACCTGGGTGTTAGTCAGCTGTCACGGGCTGCTTCCTGGGGGTGGAGGCCTGGTCGAGGACCGGGCCGCGGGGACACTAAAGCCCCGAAATCATCTCAAGATAACCTCAAGATATACCCAGGAGACGGTCATTACTGGCACCTTAATGCGAAGCCGAGACAACTAGCTGCAACCGCCGACCCAAAGCGACACAGGCCAGACAAGTCCCAGGAACATTCACGAGGTAACGTGCAGCCAGGACCCTGTTCGACTGCCAAAAACCCAGCGCCCGAATGTCTGCCCAAGACATGTTGCCAAAGATGGCAGCAAGAGCAGTAAACTTACGAACGTCGTGGGCATGGGAATAGACCGCAAGCTGGCTAGACCGAATAACCCTACAGACGACCTGAGAGACCTGTACCCTGTAACAGGGAAGAAGGGAAACTGGATCAACCCAAAGCGCATCCTCAGACACAGAAGCCGTGGCGCGCAAATAACGGCGGTAGGCCAACACCCAAACACCCAAGAGATGCAGACAGGCCACCACAACCCAAATAAGGCGTGTGAAAATTCGAGGTGCCAGGTTCAACCCAAACGGGAGACAACGAAAGTAGTAACTGACGCCTCACAACAAAACCGAGCCAGTCCCTGATCCCCGGATGAAACGGGAGGTGCCAATACGCGTCCCGGAGGTCCAGGGACACCATCCAAGTGCCCAGCTCTAACAGAAGCCAGACCTGGGACAGTAGTCATCCGGAAGAAGGGGCAGTGAACCCAGGGCTTCAGATGGGACAAGTCCAGAATGAACCGCACAGTCCCATGTGTGGCTTTTCCCTTTTCCCAAAGGAAGAAACAGTTGGAAGACAGCTCCAGGAGGGAAAAGAAACGCAAGGCTGAAGCCAGTAGGCCCCAAGCGCACAAGTCCTCTGCAACCAGCGCAGTCGAAAGAGAGGGAACCTGCACATGAAGCTGGACAGTGCCCACTTCCCAAGGAAGGGCAGGAGCGAACAAGCACTCATTAACGTGCTCAAACTCGCCCGAGGAAAACCTGGACCACCGTCAATGACTCACGCCACTCAAGCGTGCGGAAACGACAGAACGTATGCCAAGCCTCCAGAGCAAAAACAGGACAGTCCGCCAGCCAGGACGACTCCAGAATCTCGTAACGAATCCAGTCGGGAATCGAAGACCCAAACCTGTACATAAGACGGATCCATAATAGAGGTGTAATCCGGGTCACGCAGGAGGTAAGCCACAAAGGCTTTCCGCACCACAACCGGAGGGATGCTGGAAACCGAAAACGTTCAGAAAAACGGGACCGAAGTACCCGAAGGGACGTGGAACCGAACCTGGGGAAGGGCAGACAACAAATCTAATTCGTACACAGTGTGGGAGAAAGAAAACCCCACTCCTTGTAACAGCAAGCTGCCCCGGGAGCCACCACATCAGGCCCGGGGACGAGTCGACTCCCAAAGCCCCAGCCTCAAAGAAGAGGCCAGCACAGCCGTAGAAGCAGGAAGAAAGGAGGCCCACTGGTCAGACCCAGACGCTTTGGCAGGGAGGAAAGACTCGAATGCCTCCATCGCCGGCCCAGAAGGGGCATCCCCCGAGACCGCCCGAGTCTCAACACCATCTAAACCCTGCCCTGACCCCAAAACCCTCAGACGTTTCAGAGTCGGTAGCAGGGGGAAAGGACCAGAACAAACCAGAGCAGGGGAATGACAAGCGGGTGCGGACTGAACCAAGGCCGAAGTGACCATCACCCCCAAGTCAAGATCCCTATATCCAAAATGGGGCAGCCTCGGGAATTTAGGATCAGCAACTAACCTAGCACGTTGCAACAAATGAAACCTAACATGCAACGCTTGTGCTGCCTGTACCCGAGTAACGTCATCAGTGGACTGAGCAAACCGAGTCATCAGCAACAAAACTCGCAGGACTCTGAATCGAAAGTATTTCCAACCCAGCAGGCAGTGTGACGGAGGCAAAAACAAAGAGAGTCACCCTAAGACAAGGTGACAGAACAATCCTCAAACTCGCATAAAGCGAGTGGGCACTCAGGGGTCACATCCATCGGACCCACACACCCCCGCGGGGATTCCCAGGGTCCCGAGACGGAACTCGCGCTCAAGGAAGCCCTAGGCAGGGTACTGCTAACCGGCGCCCAAGTCTACCAAGCAAACTTGTAATTAACTGAACCCCCCGGGACGTGTACACTCACAGGGACCTATTAGGTCCCACCAGAACAGAGTAGCATAAGCAGTACACGAAGGGGACAACAACCAAGGCAGACCCACCTACCAGGCAGGAAAACAAAGAAAAACAAAACCCCGCAAGAGGACAGCGTACCCAGGTGGAACAGAGCCGGCTGCTATGAGAGGTGAAAACTAGCTGCACAGTATCCTGCACCCCTACCAGTGCAAACTGCCTCCTACCCTAAGGTGAACCAGGATGCCAGAACATTGCAGCACATAAAGGGCGGCCGAAAGCCGAGCAGCAAGTGCCCAAGCAGAAGCAGAACCCAAGGAACTTGTGGAAGGAGGGGCCCCAAGGGCAGTACTTACAGGGCACCTAAGGAAGGGAAACCTAGGTGCATGCAGCTCGAGTACTGAAGAATTACTCCTGGCTCGTGCATTCCCAAGAAGACAGCCACCACACAACAGGCACAGAGCTGAGCACAAACGACAGGAGCCAGAGCACACGACTTTTGCCTAGCACATCAGCCTTAGAACTAAGGTATTTGGTAGCCGGCACAAGGGGTCTGGGGCTCCCCCCTTCCCGCTCACAGAGAGGGGGGGGCTGCACAGACGGCAGCGCGGCGACATAGTGATGTCGCTCGTTTGCTCATTTTTACTTTGGGAGTTTTGTCCACTAGTTTGGCTCTCGGTAGCAATTTCTTAACCAGAATAGGGGTTTGTTTTGGGATGCTTACCTTTCAGAGTGCCTGACCCGGTCGATGGCAGATATAGAATGCTTCTAACCACTTGGGGATTTCTATAGGCCATTGCTCCTCGTGCCTCTCTGAGGAGAGCAGGTTCTGGCTCGTGGTCCCTGGTAGGCCTAAGAACTCCATTCACACTGACTGATGCCAAAAGTCTAATATTAGCATATCAGCCTGGATTGCTCCAGGGGGTCAACGGGGCTTCCCCCAGAAAAGGTACATTTTAATTTTTAACATCATGAAAATAAGAGGAAGGGAAGGGAAGTGAATTAATCATCCAATTTCAAAAATAAAAACATGCAGACAATTCTACCACACCAGTGGTAGAGGATGAATATGAATGAGTTTTCTTAAAAACTGCATGCAGTAGAACAATTTTAATTCTAATTATGTAATGATTTTACATAGACAGTAAGAGATTCAAGATTTTATAGGACAATTTCTTCACAAGGCACAGTCATACTTATTTGTCATATTTTTTGTTTCACAGTAAGAAACCACCATTTAATGAAATGCAAACTTGTAAATCTCCAATAATACAGTTCCTAGGTCAATCAAATATCCATGGAAGACCACAGAACATACCACCAACTATAGTTGTCCAAGTGTGCAAATTCACATTCTTTACATAACTCAACAAAAGGCCTGTAAATAATATATTTCTAAATTATATTTACAGGTGTTAGAGTGCAGTCTGCAGACAACACAAGTGAGAGCTAGTAGGTGGAGGCTGTGTTTCAGAAGTCAGCTTAGGTTAGTTTTAGGGCCTCAAAACATACTACATTACAATGTTAGAGAATCTAACATTGGAATATATATCTATATATATTATATCTTATTCTATATATTGGAATATAGAATCTCTTTATCTAATTTTCAATACATCAGTATCACGTGAACCATTAAAATTGGTGAACCAAACAAAACATACAGAAACACGGTGACAAAATCCATTCCTGTAAATAATAAATACATCATGAACATGGTAGAATAACTTTACAATGTTTATGTTTAGTCACATCTGCACTGCATATTTATAGGCAAGTAACAACCATATGAACTCCCACTATGATTAGTATTACTGTACTCCCTAATAATTGGCAACAGTTCCGCCTTACCATAACACTCCCAATTATGTTTCTACTTGTCATAGAAAAAATAACATTTAACTAAAATACTCAGCAATATTAAGTTACACACACACGCATGAATGAACGAATTGAGCTGAATTCCACCAACAACATTCTCAAGAGTAATCACATTAAATGACAATGTACCAGCTTGGATAACACCCACATACAACAAAACTGTATGGGTATGAGCAAAATATTTAGGGTGTGAAAAACGATCACCCTGAATCTAGAATTAACCGCAAGAGATAGATTTATTTTTTCTAGTCTCCTTAATAGTCATGAGGTTGTCATCCAAATAAAACATTAAATAATAATAATAATTATAATAATAAGATGGCCCTTGCATACATATACTAATTTGCATGACATTACTCATACCAGATGACCCTTCAAAAAGGATTTTAAAGCAATACTTGGAATACCACCATTACCACTGAATGTTGCTGCAGAGGATTTTTGTCATGACATCACAAAATATGAAGTAAGATTAAGAGCAATGGTACCACAGTGGTTCCAATAGTCGTGCATAAATTACTGAAATGTTTGATCGCTACATTTTGTCCTTCAATCACTGAACTAGCATCTTCCATTAGTTTTCATTTCATAACTGTATCACACTGTTCACATTTTCTAAACCTACTATAATACTATAGCAAGTGTTTTTATAGGTAGCCATTTCCCAAATATTTTTCCATGTGGCACTGTTCAAAATATTTCAGAATGTACAGTATTTCTTTATCTAGGTATCGACAGCTAAAATTGCCGGTCTAGTGAATTATTACATTTTGTATACTATATTAAATTTTACAAATCACAATACTGTACTTAAATTGCCTCGTTCCACTTTAACTACTGTATACAGTAAAATACTCTTTCTTCACAGCCATTCCCACCACAAATACATAAATGTTGTATACTTTGAACAAAAACTGGGCTTATGTACTCTTACAAACAAGGTTAAGTACTGACAAGCAAATTTCATCAGCTATCCCCACAATTACCTAAGACTCTGCCTTGTCTATATTATGTACCTGCAGAATAATTAGTTCACCTACATTATGTCGTCTTTGCCTGTGTCATCACGACACAGGTCACAAAGTCCTGATACATACTGTATAACACTTCTCTTACATTTTTAGTAATACTCTTATCCACCATAAATATTTATCAACACTTGAAGGTACTGTACCTAATTATATATTTACAAATAATACTTTCTTGCCCACATCAATCAGTAGTCACTCTCCCCCCATTCATGACCAGCAGTTCCATCGAGGTCGTCGTCTTCATCCACACACACCATCACACGATCAATTTCTGTTAAAATAAAATATAGTTACAACATAAAAATTAAATCCACTGAGCATTCATGTAAGAGTGACAAAAATTACAGAATCTACAGCAATGTAATTAAAAGTTTTAAAGTACAATAACAAAAGGAGCAGAAAAAAAAAGAGAGTTCTTGAAAACTTTGATAAAGTTGCACAAAACATGATTGCCATAAAAAGATAAATACAGTACATGTTTATTCTTACTAACCACCATTATTACAAATCTCCCAAGAGCCATCAATAATATTTTATATTTTGCTAACCCAAGAATTGTGTGTAAAATTTAGAACAAATTTATTATTTTCCTTTGATACTTTAAAGTATTGTTATATTAGCAGTTCCTTAACAACTGCATGTGCTACGTTGCAAAAGTTGACAGATTTATACAAAGTGCATTGTACAATAATGTACTGCAAATAACAAAACAATTGTCAATATGCACATTGTACAATAATATTTCAAATAATAATTTGAGATTAAATGCTAAAGATTTATTTAACTCAGTTCAGTTCAGTATTTAATAGATACAAATGCCATGTTTAACACAAAAATTGTTTTTGGGGATAAAAAAAAAAAAAGTTATACAGAAAGCACGAGATTCATAGGTGGGCGATAAGGGCTGCTGGATTTATTTCACAAAAATGTTGTCAAAACTTACAAAAAACAATTATCTAGGTATGAAGGTTATTAACACCTATGAAAAATATATAAATACTTGGATATTAAGGCAATTAACATTGAAAACAATCTATTAGATACGAAGATTATAAACACCTATGAAAAATATAAATACAGTACAGGTACAGTACTTGGATATGAAGGCAGTCAACACCCACATGAAAACTGCCCTTAGGGTATTGCACGTTGAGTGGGATAAATTGGGTGGGAAGCTGTACTTTATTAAATCACTGCAAAAAGCATGATAAAACTGAAAAGATGAAGAGTAAAACATGGTATGGTCTGCTGGTGCCCAAAATAATTGTTTGTATTTGAGGAATGATGCAAAATTAGGGGGTTCTGGAGACCAAAAGTTCAAATTAACTGAAATGGCCTTATTAATAACTTGTGCTTGGAACTAGGTCAAGCCCCACAAAATGTACATTACTGTACAATAAATCCTCAATTTACTCAAGTTTTTTTTTTCTTTGCATGTACATTAACAGCTTTTGAACCTCAATACTGTATTTGAATACCTGGAGAGGTGGCTTATTGTTAAAATTATACACAGTCATCCCTTGCTAGAACACTTCTAGAAAAGGTACCCGCTACTTCAGAGTCAAATATACAGTACTGTACATTAATATACAAACCCAATTTGAATACTACTGATCACTTGAAATGATGAAGAGCAGAGTAATCCATCACTCATCCCATGCAAGTTATCATTGGAATCATGAGGAAAGTAAACTATCTCACTCTAGAAGCTACTGGTTAGTAACTAAACACTATCAGACCACTGCCAATTGGTAATTAGATCACACATCAGCATCAGGGAAGCCAGAAATCTTCACTCAAATCCCAAGTCAAAGAAATACCCCCAGGACCATAAGCAATTAAGGGATCAGTTGGAAAGAGTTTTTCCATTTGACTCATGCCTGATATCTGAGATAGGTCCCCTTTGATGTTTTCCCTTGCCAACTCCCTATGAAATAACTCACCAGAATAGGCTCAAAGTAAAAATGAAGAAACTGCAGCCCATTGTTCTACACCAACGGCAGAGCAGGAGAACATGCTCAACACAGAATGCCTGAAAAGCAGTCAATATGAAGGCCAGCCTGATATTAACAAAAGGAAAATCATTGTGCAGAAAGAATCTGCAGTCAGGCAAACTTTACCAACACATGAAGCATCCAAGAACAATGATCATTATGATATAAAAACACATTATGGCAAACACTCCAGCAGGACTCTGATAAGGAACCAGCTGCCTGCAGAACTGATTTCACCCGATGGCCATATAAAGCAGGACAAAACTGCCCCTCCATGAAGAAGGCACTTGCCAGCCACACAGAGGACATAAGCAATGCAAGCAAGGTCAGAAATTTGACCCCAAACAAGGCAAAAAACAGATTTGGGCCTACAGAACAATGGAAGAGCTAAATTGCACAAAGACTGGAATTGAGGCAACACATTACAAGTAAAAGGCTGCACCAAAGTGGGGAAAGGGGTACTCCAGGAAGTACAGTGACACCTCGGCTTACGAATGTCCTTTACGAATTTTTCGGGTTACGAGTCCAATTTTCTTTGTAAAATCCGAATTGGGTTACGAACTTTGCCTCAGAGTAACGTAGTTTGTCGATACTGTATGTGTATGGCCGACCTAGCACATGGTAGCACACTGACACTGAAAAAATTCTTTCTAATGTCTCTGTGGCTCATCTGGGTACTAAGTTTCCACCTGTGTCCCCTTGTTCGTGTTCCACCAGTGCTAAAGAGTTTGTCTTTGTGCACCCTGTCAATTCCCTTGAGAATTTTGTAGGTGGTTATCATGTCTCCCCTTACTCTTCTGTTTTCCAAGGTTGTAAGGTTCAGCTCCCTTAGCCTTTCCTCGCAACTCCTTCCTCTCGGTTCCGGGACCAGTCTGGTGGCATACCTCTGAATCTTTAACTTCATGGCAAGGCACAAATGTAGGGTCCCTTTGTAGGGACCAAAGAGCCAGAGCTCAACCCCCGCAAGCACAACTAAGTGAGTACAAACACAGGAACACAGCCAACGTAAGCACTCCTAGACATGGGCTTAAGGTAGGCCATAAAACTAGGATACTTACAAAGTAGGGTACCACTAGGGATTCTGAAAATCATCAGAAAAATTGAGGAACACATTTGGGAATCAGAAGCCAAACTCAAGAACACCATACCCAGAGCACTTGAGTGTCCCAACTGGAGCCCAGTAGTAGGAAAGAAACACCCAGGGCACACATCCAAGAACCAAAGAATCCACCCAAAGAAGACTGGTGACCTAAGAAAGGCAACCAGGAACATAGGGCCCAAATCCAGGAAAACAAAATATACCCACCAGGACCTCAGGGCACTTTCCCAGAGAAGCAAGGGAAACAATCCCAAGGGCCAGAGTCACTCATACTGCCAGAGTAGTGGTACAACTTGACAATTAAAGCACACTGAAGATAAGGCCAAAAATTAGCAGCAAAGATGGCTCCAATCTGCAGGCCCTCAACAAGGTACAGAACCCTAAAACAAAGTTTAAGCAAATGGCTATAGACAAAGAGAGAAACTTCAATGTTCACTTCACTTGTCTTGATCTGTAAGGTAGTTGCTGACAGTAACCCACAACAATACATATCCATCATTACCTGGCTCATCTGGCACTTCCAATACAAGTCCAATTTCCTCTTTTGCTAAAGGAAATTTGAAAAATCATTGTTCTCCAATGTTCTGGCTGTGCCTATGGCAACGTTACTCTTCACTGGGTCTATTCTACATTTCCTACCAGAATCTACTGTGCCAATAAGTTTTAATTTTGTTGTGCAGAGTATGAACTTGACCTTCAATTATCTTCCATGTATATGTGATCTCTCTTCCATCTTTTCCATAGTATATTTTATAAATTCCTTCCTTGTTTATATTGACTGAGTTAATTACAACATATTCTCAAGTGGAAAAATGAAGACAACAAATTTTTTCTCCTTATTAGAAATATAGTCATAGCTGGAAATACCAGTTTTTTTTTTTTACATGGGTAAAATAAATTATTATTAACCACTTGAGGCAACAAATTATATCCCCGATTTTGCTACAAATATTTAATATTACAGTGATCCTCATCACTTCATGGGCTACCACTTCAATAGCCTCCTCCTCCTTGGTAACCTATACATATATGCTTTGCATGATAAATCCTTAATACCTTAATTTGTTACCTCTAGGATCTGGTTGCCTGTGTCAACCCTAATTTCTAGCTGTATGTGGGCAATAAGTTAGCTTAGTTCATTTATTATGCACCCCATACCCATCTTGAGGGCGGTAGTGGAAAGGGTTACAGAGGCACATAATGGGCTCAGGGACTGAACCCCACAATTGGCAATAAAAAAAGATACATCTGTGCATTGTCCTAAAAGATCTTCTTTAATTGGCCTCTGATCCCTATTACTTCCTCTTTTAAAAATTTGGAAGGAAAGAAACACACAGGTCAAATAAATTTCCAGTATTCTATGTCTGAGATCCTAGGCATCAGACTGGTTACATTTTTAGTCACATTCAAAATCTGCAAACTCTTGTAAATTATTCCATCTCATTTCATCATTAATCAAAACCTTAATTTCCTCCTGTGAGGCTCCACTGACATAAAAAAAGATGACCATCTCTGGGAATGGCACCATCTTATAAGATGGTACTGAGAAAGGAACTAAACAACTTAAAGTCCAAAATGCCAAAAACACAAAAGTTAAGGATATCTAACACACACAACATTGATGCATCAAATAAACAATCACTACTACATGCAACATATTCAGTTTTTGTCCTTGTAACTGTAACAGAGACTGCCAAATAACATTTTAAGTCTTATCTACTTCCTTGACTACAATAAAATGAGATCTAGCCAGCAATTAGCACTTGTATGTATTGCAGTTTAAGGGCCATAGTTTCTAACTGCATATTATGCATAATTAGATTCATTGTCAGCACATATAAATAATATTTGACCACAGAATGAGTATCTTTAAATGTGTTACAAATTATTTATAATTCTGTATATGATGTTAGATAAGGAAATAATTCTTTGGCTTTAGGTAAATGATGCACTTTATTCCTATAAACATTATGATTGTAAATTACATTCCTAACATTAGCATGCAACATTCTACGATCCACATATGCTGGTTTTGTATTACCATTTACGTCAAATTTATGAACCAGTATTTAGAAATAAAGTGCATTTTAAAACAAAATCTTCATTCCCATAAAATAATTTGAGATTTATAAAGAGTCACTACTAGCATTCAGTTGGAAAGTATGGTCCAACATCCTTACACTTACACACACACAAACACACACATCATGTTAGACATTAAATATGCTTTAAGATATCACCTAGAAGAAAATAAGGACATTGAAAGTTATTAAACTCGATTTCAAGAGAGGACACTATGGGGAACTTAAAAAAATTTTAATGAGTGTAATTGGACAGACTTGTTGCAAGGCAGGGAAGTAACCTTATGCCAAATATGCCAAATTTTGCAAAATATACGATGAAGGCACACAAACATTCATACCAAAACACAGGGCCAGAAAACAGGATTGGTTCGACAGAAATTGCGAGAGGGCCAGAGACCAAAGACACAAAAATGGAATCAATATAGGAAGAGGCCAAACCCCCAAACATACCAGCGATACAAAGATGCGAGAAATAACTGCACAGCAGTAAGAAGAGAGGCAGAAAGAAATTTTTAAAAAGGGATTGCAGATAATGTAAAACAGAACCAGGCCTATAGTATCATCACGCTGTATGCGCATCATTACCATGTCTGTTCAAGCAAAGGCTTCTTCAAGAACATGCCACAGCTGTGTTAATTAAGCATCTATTGAAGTTTGTACTTTAATATAAAATAAATAAATATGTTTATTCAGGTAAGGTACATACATACAAGTGATGTTACATTAATGGATCGATATATAGATAGAGCTAGTACATACAATGCCTAAAGCCACTATTACGCAATGCGTTTCGGGCGTTTACCATTTCCTAAATAAATTATTACAAGTACAGTACTCAAAACTATGTATAAATATATATATCTATCTTATAGATGTACTGTACTACCCAGTTTTGTGACACATGCATTAATTGTGTTTTGTGACACATGCACAAGTCAAATGAAATTCCTATATTAAAATGAGGATTTTCCATTCTTAAACCATTTACAACACCACTTAATGGTCCATCTAATTACCGCAAGCTACCACAAGCTACACAAGCTTCACAAAGCTTCCTGGCAATACGTTAGTAATGAATAAATATGATATACAGTACTTACTCATTATAATGTTGGTGCTGAATGTACAACACGAAAAAACAATTTTAATCTGAAAAAGTATCTTTTTATAAAGAAATTAGACGAAAATAAAGAGCTGGTGACGCCAAATCAAGTCGACGATCCAAGCGTCGGTTAGGTCAGGTCAGGTCAGGTCAGGTCAGGTCAGCCTAACCTATCATATTTATTCATTACTAACGTATTGCCAGGAAGCTTTGTGAAGCTTGTGTAGCTTGTGTAGCTTGTGTAGCTTGTGGTAGCTTGCGGTAATTAGACGGACCCGGTTCTTTAACCACTAGACCACACGACTGTAAAAAAATCTTGGTAGTCGTGAGACTAGTTTATTCAAGATCCGACAGCATTCGGTGGTCAACTTGGCAAAGATATTTCATCGAATCACCTCAATTTGTGGGGCCAGGTGAGCAGTACAAATGTGAACAAGCTTGAATGGTCCCCAAGCCAATATGCAACTGAAAACGCCACACCCCATAAGGATTTGAACCTTCTAATTACCCAAAGCTACCCAAAGTTTCCTAGCATTACGTAAGTAATGAAGAACTATGATATACTTACTCACTATAATGTTGGTGCTGAATATAGAACACGAAAAAACTTATTGTTACCACGAAAAAGATAAGATTAGAACAAAAATAGACGAAACTAAAGTGGCATGAGAGGCCATAGGAAGTCGACGATCCGAGCGACAATGTTGTGGAGCGACGAATCCAAGATATTTTGTTGCCTAGAGGTTATATTAAGTTAGGTTTGGATAGGTTAGGTTGAGTTAGGTTATGCTTGGGTAGGTTGGTTAAGTTAGGTAGGTACAGGAGGCTGATATACCAGCAAACACTCTCCAGGCAACAAAGTGTCCTGGCTAAGTCGGTCCACAACATTGTCGCTTGGACCTCGACTTGCTTTGGCGTCACCAGCAGCTTATTTTCCCATCTAATTTCGTTATAAAATTATACTTTTTCAGAGTAAAAATATGTTTTTTTTCAATGTTCTACATTCCGCACCAACATTATAATAAATAAATATATTATATTTATTTATTACTAACGTAATGCTAGGAAGCTTTTGAGTAACTTTGGGTAATTAGAGACCCGACATCACGTTAATTATGGGACCCTCAATGATTTTTAATATGTACATCAGTTTTTAGCCTCAAGATTTATATCAAAATGTGGTGTACTATTCAAGAGGACAGGTTGAATTATTTACTGAAAGGACAAGAATAATTTGTCTCAATAATTTGCTCTAATAATTCTCAGGTTTTCATACTCTCTATTTTAGGATCGAGTACAGTAAATGTTTCGTATAGTTCAACTTCTTTGAATTACAATTATAGCAAGTGTCAACTGCATCAATTATTGAGCCTAATATATTTGCATACAGTGTTCTGCTCAGCTGTGTAGATAAAAGAAAATAATTCTTTGAGTTAATATGAACAGCACTCTGGTTGCTTCCTAATAAGATGCTGGAAGGGTTTCCTATCTTGAGGTTACCTTGAGTTTTTTTCGTGTCTTAGCGTCCCCGCGGCCCGGTCCTCGACCAGGTGGTTGCTGGATCTCGATTAATTGAAACGAGCCAAGTACTGCCTCATCTTGGTGCACTTGATTCTGTTATTGCTACTATGGAGGAAACGAAATCTAAATGAATTACCCTCAAGAGATTTTACCTTAAGTGATGAGAGGCCGGTGGGAGTTTGTCTTGGTCCCTCTCTCTCCAGGCATTGTACACGACAAAGAAATCATGGAGGGTTTCCTTTTCAGGTTATCTGAAGGGTCCCCCGCCACTGTGGAGGGGGAAAATGAGTGGCCAGGGTTGAAGATTGATTGATTGATGAAGATTAAGCCACCCAAAAGGTGGCACGGGCATGAATAGCCCGTAAGTGGTGGCCCTTTTGAGCCATTACCGGTATCAAGAGCTGATACTGGAGATCTGTGGAGGTGCGACTGCACCCTGCGTGACGGGAGATGTCTCCCAGGGTTGGAGAATGTTAGTTACTCCTAAAACTTGTTGAAAAGGCGGGGGGGGGGGGGGGGGGGGGAAAGCACCCCCTTGGGATGAGGCAGTTTTTCCTACATGGGTTTATCGCCTGGCCTCCCTCACTTCCCAGGAACGTGGTATTCCTTGGTGTTACGAACCTTACCTCCTGTGGAGGTTAGTTTCTATTATAAATCATTTATTAACACAAAAAGAGTTGATTTGAGAATGTTTTCTTGAAAGAAATCTGCAGCAGGCAACTGGGAGGCCGCAAGGTGTCTGGCCGGCCCTTGTTTCCTGAGGGTTTTCTCCGGCCATACAGTCAAGATAAGCCACCGGGTTGTGTTCACGGGGGTTGCAAGGAAGGGTAGACTGCACTGATAGCCTACTAGGTATTTAGTTTTAAGGGAGAGAGAGAGAGAGAGTCCAGATTTCCTAGGGTTTTTATATATATGTCACAGGCTGACAGAGGTAGTGTTGGATTAAGAGCTGTATGGGGACCAGAGCCCGTTTGGGTGATAAAATGCAAGTTTGTTTTCCTTCTGAATTCATTGACTTCAAGGAATGAATTATGTATCGTCGGGTGCGTTTTATAAATGTACATTTGTCATTTATCTCCTAGGTTGTTTCCCTACACTTTGAATTCCAATTGGCTCAAGTAAAAGCCTTATTCCCAAAGACCACACCACATGACAGAGCCCCCATGACACTTTACTCCGGGTCCCAAGCTTTAAAAAACTGAAAGCATGTGGTAAGTGAACTCAGGCTCGTGGAGCGGGGCGCCCCCCATCCCCGAAGTCGGATCGTGGACTTCGGTGGGAAGATTGGGCGTCGTAGATCATAAGTGATTGTCAGGGGACAGGTAGCCAGTTTATTCATAGTGTACATGTTAGGTTTATGTCGAGATTTCCCCCAGGGTCGATTTACGGACCCTCCCCCCCCCCCAGGATACCACCCCCACAACACGCTGGAGAACGAACCCGACTACTACCAAGACCTCTGCATAATACCAGGATATACAGGCGATGAGTCACAATAACGTGGCTGAAGTATGTTGACCAGACCACACACTAAAAGTTGAAGGGACGACGACGTTTCGGTCCGTCCTGGACCATTCTCAAGTCGATTGAATTTTTAGTGTGTGGTCTGGTCAACATACCAGGATATAATGCATTAGACTCGAATCCGGCTTTTTTGTCTTTGGTTCACCCTGCTGAGCCTCGCATACATCAACACAGTTACAGCCCCGCTCATGTGCCAGGTAAGTTCACTACGGGCTCACCATAGCCCGTGCTGCTTAGAACTTTTTGTTCCCGGTGACTGAATCTATAACAGCAGCAGCAGCAGCATACATCAACCACTTACTTGGCAGGGACGAATTCCAAGTCCCCGATGGTGACTAACTCGTCACGCTGGGAGTGGGGGACTCCATCTTTGGCCGTTACGATTGCGCTTCTTACTACCCTTCTTTACTGAGGGATCACGGCACTGTACACTAATAGGTTGCATTAAATGATGCAGGCGATGAGTCACAATAACGTGGCTAAAGTAAGCTGACCAGACCACACACTAGAAGGTGAAGGGACGACGACGTTTCGGTCCGTCCTGGACCATTCTCAAGTCGATTGAGAATGGTCCACACCTCCTAGTGTGTGGTCTGGTCAACTTGCATTAAATGATCTTTCTTCCCCTCTGACACTTTTCCCAGCGGTAAGAAAAATTGTCACCACAACAGCCATTTGTTGACAATTTTGCCTCCAATGGGAGCTACAACTTGCGATCGACAACGTGTCTTCTTGAAACCATGATCAGTCACTCTAGTATCTTAGCCGGAGGCAAGTCTTAGTAGAGGTCATAGCACATATCGTTCCTCGTTGTCACTTTGTGGAAATACTTTCTATAAGGGGATTGGCCTTTGAGCATTCAGTCTTAGTCTGTATTTCCTGAGGAGCTGATAGGTGCACATTACCCAATCTATAGTCTCATGGTTAGACAAGACGAGAGTACAAGTAAACTATACTGTATTCTGGATGTCCTGTTTCTCCCTCTGTCTTCCTTTTCTTGGTCATACTTGAGCTACCACCCAGACTTGTATCTTGAAACTTGAGTCCTATCTACAGGATCGTAATTGTTACTGCCTTCTCTACATCACCACCACTCCAGCGTCTGTCATGCTTTGACTACTGCCTCTCAGTAGGGCCCTGTTCCATCTTGGTACATTTCTATACCTACAAAGATGGCTGATTTGCAAGGCTGAGTTCATGTTTGCAGTATCCCCTTGTGGTGTTCCAACATTGCCTACATGGAGGGGCCTGCTTGTGTAGTTTTGCAAGAACCTGACCTATATAATTGGAGTATCAACTTTGAATATTTTGAAATACCTCTAATTTGAAAAATTTTCCCTCACACTTCATAGCTCTGTTCACAGACGGATCTAAATCTGCTGGTTTTGGCCACTGTTTTCCTCGACACCTGTTTATGCTGCCTTCACCCCAGGAGACTCAAACCTTCACAGTGGAACTTGTGCAAATTTGTAGACTGGAACGTTTGCTCTTAGCTACATTTTCATTGTCAGTGTGGGTTGACTCTTGGTGTCCTCATAATTCGTCTTTTAGCCATTTGCATGCTGTGAGGGTCGAAATTCAATACTGGCAGTTGATCTGTAACATTTGTACTCAGCAAAGTAGATATTTGCTGGGTTCCTATCTTATAAAAGTTTTCTTGAATGAATTTGCAGACAACTTTTAAGGAGCCCAATTGTACTTGTCCCATGTCAGGAAAAGGATTCCTTATTCGGATTTATACCCCGTTATTCTGCAATCCACTAACATTGGTAGGGTCGTGTCAGGCACTACTGGTAACAAACCGTGCAATGTTAAGGGTGACCTATTTCCTTGACCTATCACCATAGAGCCATTTCACGTGGTTTATCATCAGGCACACGGATGGACATTTAATGAAAAAATGCCCTGCTCCTTACTAATCTAACTGCATGGTCCCAATCATGCGCCACCTTTTAGAATTTCCAGATTTTCTGGATCGTACATTTCCCAATTTCCCTCTGGGTCACTTGTCCGTTGATAGAATCCTTTGTGAATCTGATTAGCTTTGCTGTTGCTCACCTTGTCCTTTTTCTCGTATTCCCATTCCAAGCCATATTTAGCATCTTTTGAATATCTGCTACAGGTGGTGGTACATAGTCCATTCTAACTTGGCACCTTCTTTTAATAATTACTCACCATTTAATGGGGCCAGGATTAGTATAGATTTTTTAAATAAACTATCTAACATTGAGGATATAACATCCAAGAATATAATTACAAGAAAATTTATTTTACATTTTATTACTTATGCACTTAGGCTGCACTATACATTATGCTTGATTGGTTATACAATTATATTATTACAATTTACAAATGATAATTTTTGTGGTAATGTGTTTACTGTATACCCACAATATTTGGGCAACAAAGATATGTACATACAAATGAACAAGAGAACAAACACCCTTTTTTGCAACAGGATGACAAGCCCCTGACAACCAGTAGGGCAGAGTGGGAACATAGTCACGTGGGAATGCCTAGTGTCACTGGTCCCCCATCCCTACACACTGCTAGTCACCAGGTCAGCCCCAGATCAGGCAAGGTCACACTGGGGTCTTGAATGCATTACTCTCCTTTGACCTGAGGTTGCCTTAAAGACGGGCGACATGAATCATCCGCCACCACCACCTAAACTTGACTCGTCCCACTGGATTGTCACCATAATCTGAATACCAGAGGTCTCTGCAGCAATTTGGGGGGTAACAGCAGAAAACACTAACTATATCTTCAGGACATTTAATGTTTACAATATAACTTTGTATGACATGAATGAACATTATTTATACTGTCGGTAAAATTCACTTATAACATTCATTCACATAGCACATTATTGGGTAAAAATTTGGTAATATAGATGTATAAGAGCTCAATTTTGAAATATATGGGAATATTTTAAAGTGCTTAGGTAGTTCATTTTTTCATGGTTAGATTTTGTGGTGACGGGTCCTATTTAGAGAGAGGTATATGTATCCTAAGATAGTGAATTCAGAATTTGGGTGTTGGTCCACAGTCACTCGGCAGGACAGCAGCAGCAGCATTCCGCAACACAAAGGACTAGGAACGTAATTGACACCAGGTGAATTCTTTATTATATTTGAACAAATTACAACAAACATGTGATGAAAAAGCTGACAAGAGATATCCCTACCTTCAGTCAACTTGGAACTGTAGCATGTGGTTACTGAGATGAAAGTTTGAAAACTATGGAACAGTAGCAGAAACAGAGGATACATAAATAAGGTCTATTGTATACATATTACAAATGTGACAACATTAATGGTAATTACAACCAAACAATTACTTCAACACTTACTTTCCAAAATCAGTATTTAGAATGTTGTTACAACCTTATTATGAGGGTTCCACATGCTACAGGAACCTATGCCTGTTGATAATCACCTTTGGAACTGGGAAACAGCCACGATGTATACTACCTTACACACTTTTGACAACTCATGTGCCAGCATCATTAAATCTGGTTTCAAGAGTTATACCATGCACCCATAATACTCTATGTACAATCTCTGTTGATTGGCCACACCAAGTCCAGCCAGCTTAAATTCATATGTTGCACATGTACACTGCCAATCATCTATTATATCAGGAGTAAATAATTATATCAAATTTAATAATCTTTTCATTTACAATATCATACATAGACAAAAAAAAAATTGTGTTGCTATGCTCAGGTCCCTGACCAAAACGGTCCAGCCAGCCAGCCTGCATGTTGAGTTCAGTGGTGGTTTTGACAAGTAATCTCCACAAGGATGAGTGTATGGGGAGCAGTAAGCCATATAGCCATGGTTCCTGGCACCTGTCTTCATGCCTCTGTTGTGCTTACTACAGCCACAAAGCCAAGGCATCAGTAGAGGCACACATCTGACATATTCCCCAAACAATGCAGTAGAGGATACCAGTAAAATAACCAAGAAGGAAGCACTCCACCGCATTCACCATCATAGTCCTCAGGTAATGGTTTCTGTGCTGCCTTCACACTCTCTGCCACCTTCACTGCTCTCTTGACCTTGTGAAGAGCCTTCCACTTCTGCAGAATTTGTTTCCATTACTTCTGATCCGCTCTCTGCATCTTCAAATGTCTATTGAAAGAAAGTTATATTAATTTTTCAAAACTTAAAAACTAAATAATTAATAACTTTGATAGCTTCTACTACTACTTCCTTAGTGAAACAGTATGAAGCAATGATAGAACTGCAGTTTTCATTAATTGGTTAACAATGAGGAGAGAACTTTAGATTTTCCTAGTGGCAGCCAATAGCTCAGCCTCACATTTCATGTTCTCTCCTGATAACATTTATGACTAGCCATCTTGTCAGATGGGGATATTAAATGAATGAGATTATCCATTGGGGCTAATAGGTGACATGAACCTACGACCCCTGGCACTGCCAGCCGCATACTAGACCACCGCTGACTTGTGAAAAGTCATACAATCGGATTTTTATTGGTTGATTTCTACAAGGGGCTAATCCTCAAGGCTGCCAGTGTAAAAAAAGATGAGCCAAAGTATGTCAATACTTTGTAATGTATGAACATCAAGGCCCTACAATCAAAGTTCCACCAGCATTTGCCACTCAAAATTCAGTCTGCCAAGCACTTGTACAGTAATTTTAGACAGGTTAGGTAAGGTTGACAATCTACTTCACTTGTTTCAATAAACTTACTTGGACTTGAAAATCTATTAAACTTCTAATAGGTACATCTTGAATTTTAAACTTCATGCAACATACAGTTCACAAGGAAATCCCACAAATCTGATGAGAAAAGCAGTTGGAGGACGCAAGTTAAGGGTTTAAATCCCCCCACATTGCTCCAATTGATTTTCTCATAGTATTAAAGATCTTTAGTTCTAATGTTTACAATGCTACATTTCTCTTCTGTACAGTATTTCATTCTTAAAAGTGATGGAGTTCAGAATTTTTTTAGTTAAATTGTAATTATTTCTATGAAATATACTGTACTATGAAGTATAACACATAATTAATGTGTGAAAATACAAATGCCATTTGTTGATAAAAATAAACAAGAATGCTATAATAAGTTAAACTTGAATCTCTGCCTAACTCAGATGGAGTCCACTCCATATCATCTAAATTAAATGAGGAATCTCTGCACCAAGAATTTGTTAATCTACATTCTGATTGGTTGTAAGACATTATTTAGCTTATGTCGGTCTAAATTGCAAAGAATATCAGAACCATATTAAAATTAAACATACCTCTGGAACAGAATCCTCCTTGGAATCTTCACATTCTTCAAGATGTGAACTGTTGATTTTAGGTACTTCATTTCCACCATCTATGAATAACATAACTGCTTAAATACAGTACATATATAATTACAGTGATGTTTCAACCTTGCTAATTAAGAAATTTTAAAAGTTTAGCAACAAGTATTTTGATAAGATTTATTGTATGATTTTTAAGTTAGGTTATTTTAAAAAGTTAAAGGTACTTTTTTGTCCATTACCTTCATCAGTATCATGATGATCAGGTGTATCAGAATGTTCTGCTGTAGATGCTACTGACACGAACGAACTTGGTCTGGAAGTGTGGGGTGAGGTGCTTGTGGGAGGGGTTATACCTGCTGATATTACTGGTGAAGTGGTGGAAGCAGATTGACTTGGGGTAGTAGCTGATATTTGGTTTGATACCGAATTTTGCCTCATGTGAAGGTGGTGTAGCCTTTCCCTTGATGCTACCAGTTCTTTCCGCATGCGTTCTCGTTCATCATCTCTCTCAGACACCAGGTTCTGCAAAGGCATTTAAGAACATTACTGAGTACAGCCGATTTAATAATCAAATGTAAACTACAATTATTTTGATATATGTTGTTCTTGAGGCAAGCATCATTATTTATTTTATAAACTACAGTATTTATAATGCATAGCTTCTTGTCTTTATATGTACAGACATAAACCATACAAATGTTAACTAAAATAAATAATACAGTATACATTGTGTTTGTTGACTCCATCTCTGAGTAACATAGATGGAGCGGACAACTTTGGATGGAGAAAATTTATATTTTGGGTTAAATTCAGATTAAACACATATACACCTGCCTTACCAATTTTACAAGCCATCGTACTGTTTAGATAGTACTTTTTGTAACCATATGGACCACCGTACATATATAGACGAAATAAACAACTAGATGGTAGAAGAGTGTCCAAAAAAAAATAAAGCTAAAACCAAACTTAAAGATTCCTAGGCCTAGTATAGCACATATACCAGGTCAAATTGCTTTGCACTAATCCTTAATTGTAGTCTCTGTTCACCCAGCAGTGAATGTGTACCTGGTTGTTAAACAATTTGGTGGGTTGTATACTGAGGGAAAATTAGGATTAAGGTTCTGCCAGAAAATATGCGTGCTAGTGGCTTTACAAGAATGTAAGAACTATTGTATGTGTATAATTTTATATTATATTATATTATATATATATATATATATATATATATATATATATATATATATATATATATATATATATATATATATATATATATATATATATACACACACACACATATATATACATACATACATACATATACACACACACACACACAGTATGTATGTGTATGTATATATGTACAGTATGTACTCGCCTAGTTGTGCTTGCGGGAGTTGATCTCTGGCTCTTTGGTCCTGCCTTTCAACCGTCAATCAATTGGTGTACAGATTCCTGAGCCTACTGGGCTCTATCATACTTACATTTGAAACTCTGTATGGAGTCTGCCTCCATCACATCACTGCCTAATGCATTCCATATGTTAACTACTGACATTGAAAAAGTTCTTTCTAAAATTCCTGTGGCTCATTTGGGTATGTACTATGTTTCCACCAGTATTCCCTTATTCGCGTACCACCCATGTTAAACAGGTTATCCGTATCTACCTTGTCAATTGCTGAGAATTTTGTAGGTAGTGGTCATGCTTCCCCTTACTCTTCTGTCTTTTAGTGTCGTGAGGTGCATTTCCTGCAACCTTTCCTCATAACTCATGAATCTTAGTTCTGTGACTAGCCTAGTGGCATACCTATGAACTTTTTCCAGCTTATATATATATATATATGTATGTATGTGTGTGTGTATTCCTGAAGATGTCATGCTGATGAAATGGTGTAATAAAATGGAAAGACTAAGTGAGAGTGTTTATTCACTCTCTAAAAGTTGAAGGTATTTACATAAAAATGAAAATATCAGTAGGAAAATTGGGAATTGTATTCATTTTATTGCAGTAGTACTTACTAGGAGGGAAGAAAGTTGTTGAGATAAAGCTGTAGAAATGCTTAAAAGCTTCGTCATTGGTGCTTGATACAAGGGTAAACTGGTAGCCTTGTTAGCACTGCCATTGTTAGCTCTTGCAGCCACAATGTCTCCTTCACTAATGTTGAGGGCTTCATTAAGTGTTTCTTGAAAACATTTGGCTTGAAACATCGCAGCCAAGACCAGCTCTCTGGGTTCCTTATTGCCTACTGCTGGTTCCCCTGCCATGTCCACCACGTTCTCAAAGTGCTCATGTGGAATGTTTAGGATGTCAGCAATAATACGTTGCTTCTCCTCTAATGCCTGTCGAATTTTTAAGTCTTTTCGCCGTAGATGCTCTGTAATATAAATGCAAAGACCAATCAGTGATTGACTTAATGCAGAGGAATAAAATGCCTACCCATAATGAAGAAATGTTCATTATTTTATGTAACAGTTTAATATTGTCAAATTTGTTTACAATAATAATAATAATAAAGAAAGGGGGGGGGCACAAATAATTTAGTGTAAACTTTTTAATTAAGATTACTCATGTCTGTTGAACATAAATGGAGGATTAGAAAAGACATTGTGCTGGTAATGTACTTCAATACTTAATTACTAAATCATGATCTATTTTTACTTGCTTTTTATCTGACTGAAGATCTACTCTCTCATTTTTATGCTCTTGCAGAGTCTGCCTGTCATTCTTTATGTCTTAGGTTAGAATGAATGTCTTAAATTAAAGTATTGGTTTTTTATAGTGTCTATCTTGAGTAATACCTGTACAACATACTTTGGTTAAAATGAAAATTTTGTTGTTGCATTAACTGCATTCAAACTAACATTTACATAGCTTTTTCCATATAACTGTAAATGGAGTCCCTTTTAATGGAATTATTAAAGTCTTATAATAATCCTACTGCAAGACCATAGCTCAAGACCCACAGTCTTGAGTTATTATAATCCAGTTATTATAAAGATCCAGACAGTATTCCATATAATTAAACCAGACCGGAGAGACAGTCAGTTCAGTATATAATCCAATAAAAGTAGAATTTATGGTGCCATTATCTCTGAATAAATATATTTAATTATCTTGATAATCACCTATACAGAGACAAAGAATTAACTAATGCTATTCAAAATAAATTTCAGTGCAACCTTAAGTCGGCGAACTATATGGAACAAACCTTAATTTGTTGCATCCGAAGTTTTTTTTTTTTAATTTGCTTTACGGCATATGAAAAGTAATCAACTAAATTATTTTTCCAAGACATTGAAGGTTAAGTACTGAAACTGAGATACTAGAGATAAGAAGCTCAAAGTGAAGGAACGGAGATTAGGAACTGCATATCAAATTAAGTGTTAAAATGCAAATTACAGTATTATATATATATATATATATATATATATATATAAGATCACCATTGAATATAATGAAATGGCTTTTCCTGGTGGTCTTTGGTGCTTCCCTGTTTTTAGCTACTCGGGTTAGCTCCATACCTATTGTCACACCAGACAATAAAGGTGAGTCATTAAAAGCCTTCCAGAGACCAAAACCTGGTCCCCACTCAAAGGTAGAGAACAGAAATCTTTGTTATCTCTCTCTCTCTCTCCCCCTCCCTCTCCTCTGTAACTCACTCTCTGCCCTATATCTCTTGCTCTCCCTCCCTATCTCTCTCTCTCTCCCTATCTCTCTCCCAATCTCTCTCTCTCCCTATCTCTCTCCCAATCTCTCTCTCTCCCCCCCTAACTCTCTCTCTCCCACATCTCTCTCTCCCCCTATCTCTATCTCTCTCCCCCCCCTTTCTGGTGGCTGTTGAGACAAAATGGACATGTCAAATCCAAACAACTTGGAAAATGAATTACTATCTAGCAGCAATTGCCCACCAGCAGGTTGCAGCAGTGTGAGCTCCTAGATCAGCTGGTTTAACTATTCAAGTCTTTTTACCTGGTGCAGTAAAGTTTAAGGTCACTATTGCCCCTCAAGTCTCCTGAACCCTTTCTAGTCCCAGATATTTTCCAGATAAGTGTTATCAATCCTTTGCACTCTGTCCTGCAAATGGACATCTGCTTGTGTAGTTTTTCTTTTGGTATCAGTTTAACATGAATATGTTTACAAGCCTCAGTTACTGTGTGGACTTTAAAGAAACTCTTTATCTAGTTGCATGTTTTGCCTAGGTGCTTGCTGGTCTTACCCCCCTGCCCTGTTAGGGTTACCTTCCCTAGTTGGTTTGGGCATTTGTTCCCGAGGGTGGCCTGTAGCGGGTGCCTCACCCTGGGTAGTGCACGAGTCTGTTAATTGATCAATTAATTGATGAAGATCAAGCCACCCAATAGGTGGTACAGTACGGGCATGAATAGCCGGTAAACGCATCTGTGACTCCTGCGAGGCTCAGGTTTGAGGGTAGTCAGAATTTTCTTTGGATGCACAGGAATTTGCATGATCCATTTTATGGATCGTCTCAAAGCTCTCCAAATGTACTCTCTAGAAAGGAGACGAGAGAGATACCAAATAATATACACATGGAAAATACTGGAGGGTCAGGTCCCAAATCTACACAGTAAAATAACAACGTACTGGAGTGAACGATATGGAAGAAAATGCAAGATTGAACCAGTGAAGAGCAGAGGTGCCATAGGCACAATCAGAGAGCACTGTATAAACATCAGAGGTCCGCGGTTGTTCAACGTCCTCCCAGCGAGCATAAGAAATATTGCCGGAACAACCGTGGACATCTTCAAGAGAAAACTGGATGGTTTTCTAAGAGAAGTTCCGGATCAGCCGGGCTGTGGTGGGTACGTGGCCCTGCGGGCCGCTCCAAGCAACAGCCTGGTGGACCAAACTCTCACAAGTCGAGCCTGGCCTCGGGCCGGGCTTGGGGAGTAGAAGAACTCCCAGAACCCCATCAACCAGGTAACCAGGTATCAACCAGGCACGATGCTCATGACTTTTGCAGCTGCATGTTTCCCTTAGGCCATACTAGCTGTTTTTCTGGGCGAGTACCTTCAGTACCTGGTATTCCTGCTTTGACTTTGCAGGGGATTTCCAAGCCCTAAAGGCAGTCGTTGGTGTGGTTCAAGATGGACGGTCCACACAGCTCATACTTACTGGGTGAGAGTTTGAGGAATACTCATTGGTTTTGCTTCATCCCAATGAGTATTTTTACTCACTCAAGTAGCGAGTGAACACCCTAACCATAGGGTGATTCATTTTCATTCGTTTTCTGCACCTCCTGTAACTGGGCCAAGTTTTTGCCCCTGGTCTCCAGTAGACCTTTAACGACTCGCAAAGGCCTGGTGTGACCCGACAGATGGGTGTTGAACCAACTGGGCAACTAACAATAGGGAACCACCATGAAGATCTCATATTAAAGCTTATATAATGATTTAATTGGATAAACATCAAAGGAATCTTGTAACCCTAAGGTTACAAGGATTGTAACCCTAAGGCTACATGTTTTAAATACCTACTCAATGTAGGTATTCTACTACATTTATCCTTAACCTCAAAATGTGGCCATCACCACCTTGTCTGCATACAACAATAAAACAAGTACACAATAATTTGTTCTTACAGAATGATATACAGGTATTTGCATGCAAAAAAAACAAGGAAAAGGGAAAATATTCTGGTTCATGTACCAGGAAACATCTCGGGTGGCTTCTTGGCAATTTGTAAAATAAGAGGTTTCATGACAATTCTCTCAATTCTTCTCTTGATTCATTAATCCAAAAAGACAAGTTTTTATAAATAATTATTACTTATGGCAATGAGACTGTGCTCCTTCATTTTTACTAAAATAAATAAGTACTAATTAAATGCATTGAAAAGCCAAGTAGTATGTTGTGGGGGGAAAATTCTTCTATATTTATGGCTGACAATGAAGGTTCAGTTTGTTTTGCCAGCATAGCTGCACTGTCTACTGCAATATTGCCAATTAAATTACTAACAAATATATGAGGAATAAAGTATTCTCTGCAATTAATGTGGCATTTATCAATTGATAAAAGCATGGAAATGACTTTTATCAATTTGCATTGGTTATTCAGCATGAACTCAATTCATCTCGGGTAAATTCCCTTAAATACAATTTCCTTATTGAGAACTCCAATATTATTAATCAGAACAATTCTGATACTGCAAATGATATACTGAATATGAGTCACTGGATGCACAAGGTACTCAGTGTGGAGTATCGATCACAATAACTGACATGCAAAAATAGCATTGGCACAGGAATCTTACAAAAAGAAAAAAAAAATGAATGAACTTTAAATCCTGTGAATGGTTTGCATACAATAACTTCACAAATGTGTAGTTTCAATATCAAACAATTAGTCAATATTGGCATTGCATCACTGCCCAAGTGAAACCAATTTGATTTTTTCCTTAACCTAAATATATATTTCCTGTGTTGTTAATTTAACAACACAATGGGAATTGACAATATAATAAAAATATATAGTGCTTTCTTAGTAATCTAAAACATTATAAAAAATAAACTGACCTGTACACACACTATAAATAAGTCCCAATAATGATTGTTAGTTAAGAAATATGCTGCTATTCCATGCTAGGATGAAAATATAAAAAGATAGGGTTGCCTCAATTTCATGCAAGTTAGCTCAAGAATAAGAAAGAGTACACATTAATAGCAAGATCACTATATTATGAAGCATACTTAGGTAATTTGGAAACTAATGCAGAAACTTATGTTATTTATGAACAATGTCAAACATCTACTAGTCAAAGATTTCCACATTAATGATGGCTTTGGGTGAAAAAAGATGCATACAACTAATGGTATGTGGCTCATTGGCACCCCTCCAGCAGTCTACAGAAATGGCAGCAAGCTATGACTACAAAAATATTGTTTTAATAAAATAAAATGTAGGTTTTTCTCAACTATACACACAGCCAATATCACTAAAATCACAACACTAATCTCACGTCTCGTATGTCTTAGTTGTTTCTTAGCAACCTCAAACATTGAAGATATAGTAACAACGAGAGTTTACCTATGGGAGTGAGGACAGGCTCAGCAGAGAGGACCACTCCCTGAGAAACCTTCACCTCGGAAGGCTGGATGAGTGCCGTGCCCTCCACGATCTGGATGATCTGGACCTCCTGTAGACGGCGGCCAGAGGCGGGGCTCCGGCCGGCCGAGGGGGAAGGGCCACCTGGGCCGCTACTGCTGCTGCTTGCCCCGCCCGCCTCTGCTGTCATTACCCAACAACAACCATCACCATTCAGCACCACTCGCCATCACCACTTGCACCACCACCTCTAGCTAGTCACTGCCTTCATAATAATATACTTGACAGCTGGTCATGTTTGACTCTAAGGTTGCACAAGGGAAATATATTTTGTTATGGACCCTACCATGCAAATATTTCCCATAAACTTGGAAGCTTAAGGATTGTGTTTGTCATCAAAGAAAAAGCACATATTAACCATTAGAGAGAAGCTGTAAAGGCCATGATGGGGTACTTTGGTCTATGAAGTGAAAATTATGAAATTATGAATTAAGAAGGCAGTGATAAGAGATCAACCTTAACTGAGCTACATGTGGAGGAAGGGTGCTAGTGGTGAAGTGCGGGTGGAATTTTTTCTTAACAAAAAAAATAAATAAAAAGTGCATAGTGCAAGCTTTAGAATCCCCATTGTGAAGAGGCTAAATACACACTTTAACCCCTGCCATGCAGCAAGCCAAGGGTATGATCATGTTTTAAGAGCAAAGTGCATTACTTACAGCAGCTTATGGAGGTGGTCAGTTCTTAGTGCCAAATTAATTTATTATTATTATTTATATATATATATATATATATATATATATATATATATATATATATATATATATATATATATATATATATATACATATATATATATACTGAAGTTATTTATATAATTTTTAATGCAAGTAGAACAGTATATTATAAAATGGGCATCCTCAGTAGCATGGAGAGCTCTAGAATTTCAGGATAAGCGTTGCAGCCCACACTGGGCAGAACTGCTCCTGCTATTCTGTGTGCAGGCCTCATCACACTGATTTCCTAATGAACTCAGGACTAACATATCTCTCCCTTCTCTGTAATGAAGGGTTCCACTCCCATGCAACAATGGATCACACTATATCAAAATGAGAGATGTCAGCTACTGTACTAATACAAGTGAAGAATAAATATTTGATTTAAAATACAGTACTGATAACTAAAATCTGATTTATAAGCAGGACAATTTAACCCAATACCAACTGCACCCAGTTTGATGTCAACTATCAGGAAAAGTTCACTTCTAAAGTGAAGAGGGGAAAATAAGATGCAAAAAACTAAACTACCACACTGGAGTATGTGGCAGTATCCACTTATAGGTCAACTTACCTGTTTTCTTTGCAAGTGTGTCTGGTGATGCTGGAGCTTGTGTTGTTGGTGTACTTGAGGGAGTAGTGGATGGCTCTTCAGGTTTACTAATCTGCTCAGCAGATATAGATGCACCTTGGATTTTACTGTCAACAGTAGCATTGTGTGTGCTGTCTGCTGAGTCCCCACCTTCAACATCCACACTGTCATCCACACTGAAAAAAAAAACATAAAATTAAGATAACGTAGGATTCATATTCAGATTCTTTATTATGCATCCCATACCCATCCTGTGGGCAGTGGTGGAAAGGGTCACAGAGGTACACAGTCGATTCAGGAACTTAACCACATAGTTCGTTTAGCTAAGCAAGTGACAATCTTGTGAAGCTAGTTACACAATTATTAATGTTATATATACATGTACAATCATTTACACAACTACATATACACACCAATAATCTTTTTATACCACAAGTGATTCAACAAGAGGCTCACAACAGTCACTATACAAGGCACTTTACATCTATGGTGAGTCACACAGTATGAGAAATGAAAATGGTTCTTTTTTAAACAAAGACCATGAACAAATGAACAAATTATAGTATAAGAATCCCCTTTATATTACTGCTACCACAACATTTTCATTTTAATAAGAAAATTGTGTTTTCAATTCTTTCAAAGAGAACAGTTACTGAAGGATAAAGACTTTAAATGAAATCATATTTCCTTAGATAGTCCTTAAGTCCATGCCACTCCACCCAGGAATCTTATTTCTGCTTTCATGGATTTTAAATTTTATTATACTGTACTGTAATTCATCTAAAAACTATTTCAGATTTATTGCAAACTTTGCATTTAAAATTTTTATAAATTAGCAAACTGAAAAATCCAGTGATGAATAATGAAACGCCTCTTTCTGGTAGTCCTAGTGACTCCCTGGGGCTATCTGCGGATATTGCTTCAATCTATCAATTACATCAATTATACGAATTCATTTGGCCTACCAGGGACCAGAGCTAAAGTCTGACTATTTCACGTGAGGTACAGAGCAAATGACTTAGTTTTGGCTGGTTTGGCGACTGTATGAGGGGAATTTTCTGGTGAGCTTTTTGTAACTCACTCTCAGCCTTTATGATGAGGTTTTATCCCTCTGTATATGTACAATATGTTGTCTGTGAGAACCTCAGCTATCATGTCTCTGTGCAAGGGCAAGATTCTGATCCTTTACTCCAGTACGGCATGAGAAACCCTGAGATGCTTGGCGAGAGAGTATTGGCCCTTGGGTACCAGTGCACAAGCTATAGGGAGCCACTGTGGAGACTAACCCAGAAAAAAAGTACTGTACTGTATTGTACTGCAAGCTTTCTATTTAAAGTAAGAGGTATTAAAAATAATTTTTTTTTTTTTATAAAACTATGCATACTCTCTGAGGGCATCTGCAGAAGATGGAGGCTGATCATCAGAGTCTTGAAGAGGGGTCTGGGGATGTGATCGACGATTACGTCCATCTCGGGCTGTATATGCTTCTTGGGCTTCTTGAATGTGCCGGAACCATCTATTGAAAAAAAAAAATACATTATTAGATTACAACGCTTTAAATACCGAACATAAAACACATTTACATTAATTTGGCTATGTATAATTATGGTAATAAAAATACTATAACTCATAATTACAATTCTGCCTAGAAGGTTTTAATACATGAAAAATTTATTAGTATTCAATAATGAAATAAAATTCATTAAAAATAACACTGGTAATAATGTCAGTGGAAAATAGTGGTGGTGGGTCTCACAAAAAAAAAAAAAAAAAATTACAGACCGATAGCAATAACATCGCACATCATAAAGATCATGATGTGCGATGTTATAAAGATTATTCAACATTAGATACCTCTGGCAACTATATGGCCATATTGAAAAAATATCTTTGAAGCTTTAAGTTTTCTTTCTAGATCTTAGTATAAAAGATGGACACTATGTCAGGTGCATCATCACCTGTTGATTGATGGCCATGTTTGGAACCACTGATGCCATGGAGCAGAATGTGACAGGAAACAGGCAACAAGGTAGGGTCAGCCTGTACATCAAAGCCACTCATCTGTACTGAGCTGCTAAACACTACAAACGACATGGTGGAGGTGCTGATAACCAAAATCATCATCCGAAATACAGTTCTTGTCTTCGTATACATCACCAGATGCAAGTTCTCAACAGTTTAACCAACTAGTGAAAATCGAATACCGCCTAGAAAACTTACCAAATCCAGCCCAAGTCATACAAGGTGATTTCAATTTATGGCATTAAAATGAAAAAGTATGACAAATACTGTCAAATTAAGCGGGAAACCCAAGAAGCCATACATATGTCACACACAAATTACTTTTTACAGATTTGTGACAGATTTTCCTTAGCTCTCAAACTGTGCACTGTTTTTCACGTCCCTTTCCAGGTGTGCATAAATTTGTTAAATTATTTTGGTTTGCCTGTAGCGAGGTGATGAAATGATGAAAATGTCAAATTCTGAAAATTCATTTTCAGGTAAACTACAGTACTTGCAAGAGATTTTTTCATCACACTTTTTTCAATACCCACTGGCCACTCTCACTCGTGTATTTATACCCACTAACCACTCTCACCCCATGTATTTACACTAACAACTCTCACTCATCTGTTTGTTCCCAATAACTATTCTCCTACATTTATACCCACTAATCACTCACTCCTTTATGTATACCTACTAACCACTCTCACTTCTGTAGTTATACCTACTAACTGCTCTCACTCCTGTATTAAACATGTTATAATTTTGCTTAATATACAAATTACAGTACTGATTATTTTTACTTATTGCCTACAAAATGAGAGCTTTACAATCTCTCCCCTCCCTAAAAAAAAATATTTCTATACATCAGTAATAAGTAATTGCAGTTGAATAGATATTGGTAACCATAGAGAGATTCATGACACTGATGAATCAATGCGTGGACTTCACCTGACAACTAGAGATCCTCTACGCTCGGATTTGTCCTGGTGGTGATGGAAGCCTGAGGCAACAGTAGGATGGCTGCTAGATGCTGTCTTGTCCTTATCCGTCTTATCTGAGAGTGAGCCTCGTCTCTCCGACCTTATCTTATCCAGGGCACCACGCTCCAGCTGCAGGGACTTGCGACGCAGCTCACGAAACATCGTCTCCGCGCCTTCTGTCTTATGGTCTCAAGTCTTGCGCTGCAAGTTTCTTGTGACGCTGCCTTGACTATATGGTGTGGAAGCGTGCAGACTAGGAAGCTGTGGTGGTGCCCAACAGCAAGAGCCTGGCCGGGTGACCTGGACCGCAGTATAACTCCATAGTTCACGCCCATCAACCACACTATGTGCCACTCGCACCCACTATGCCAAAACTAATATCCCTCATCGTACAAAGTTTTCATCTTGCTTTATTTTCATGAATTTTACCTAAAGTTATTAAAAACATTAAAGGCATACTTGAATAAACAACAATTCAGTTAAGCCAAGTATGGTTAAAGGTCCATAAGTACACATTTGTGTTCGTGAAGCCTGTGTCATCAGTCTGAATTTTCACTTTGAAAAAGAAAATCCTTCCCATAAAAGATATAGAGATCAGAAACGAAACCAAACTCATTTGCAATCCCAAGCAGGTTTTCTCCTAACCCTTGGCATATTTGCCATACATATAATTTCTTTAGGCAGCTGAAAATATTAAGTTTAGTGGGCGAGTCTATTGGGCAATGGCACTCATCCTGTAAGTGAACATCTGTATTTATAAAAAAGCAGTGTGTGTGTTCGCTTCGCCCGTGATTGTATAGTGGTTAATACACTGCGTTGTGTGTGTTCGCTTGGGGCTAGTAGCCTCACCAAACTTTGCAGGAGAACTGGTCTTTGATGGGGATGGTCACTGGCACGTCGGGGTTGAACCTCATGCCCCCCCCCCCTGTATAGAGTGGCAAATTACACTAATCTCCAATCTCACAAAATAAAAACTCCTTCCTCATTGGTAAAAAATAACCAAAATATTAAGGCAAGGTGAAAGGATAATCGCAGAGAACCATCTAGCATATTAAATATTTATCTTATGAAGCTTATTGAAGACTGGTGAAAATGGTTACAGGGATGAATGAAAAGTGGTAAAAAGTAGAGAAGGTGGTAGGAGGGGGGAGGGAAGGAGAGGGAGAGGACAAGGAAGGAGGAGGGAGAGGGCAAGGAAGAGCAGGGAGGGAAGGGAAATTGAAATTGAAATTGAAATAAGTTTATTGAGGTAAAACACACACAAAGGGATGAGGTAGCTCAAGCTAGGGAAGGGAAGGGCTGGGAATGTAGGGGGAGGGTGGTGAAGAAGGCAGGCAGGGAGGCAGGGATGATGGTCGTAGATGGGATACCTAGCAGTACCTGGGTAGTGAAAATAGTGATGAAGACAGTACAGTATGTAACAAAGATTACAGTGATGAGGATGATCGTGTGTGTAGTTTAGAAGGTTACAGTGTAGAAGGTGGTCTTTTTTTCGGGGATATTCCTGCGCGGGCCCTAAGCCTCTGGCTGGCCCACTAAGTGTGGCTTGTTTCTGTTTTACTTGGATGGAGTATGAATATTTATGACTCGTATGGTCGCTTAATGAAGATGGGTATCGTGAAGATGATACGTAGTGAAGATGTGGTATCCGTCACCCGAACAACGCAGAGTACCTTCCCCCCCCCCTAGTACCACAGTAACCCCTCCCCCCCCCTAGTACCACAGTAACCCCTCCCCCCCCCAGTACCACAATTGACAGTTCAAAGGCAGGCCCAAGGAGCCAAATCTCAACCCCCGCAAGCACAACTAGGCGAATACATGGAATAGAATGCACTAGCAAGCGATGTGATGGGGGCTGACTCCATACACAGTTTAAAATGCAAATACGACAGACCTCTTAAAAGCTCAGGAATTTGTACACCAGTAGATTGATGGGACCAAAGAGCCAAAGCTCAACCCCTCAAGCACAACTAGGTGAGTACGCGCACACGCGCGCGTACGTACACACACGGACGTACACACACACACACACACACACACACACACACACACACACACACGATATGGGATCACGTCACCATAAATGGGCATAAACACATCGATGAATGATAAACAAAAGGTGTGATCAGTGGCAAACCGACCCCCAGTGTTATTATGAATTAAACAAAATATATAAAAACAAAATCAAGGTATACTGGAATTAAACATGCTGTGTCAAGTGTCCGCAAGTTGCTAACAGGCAGGATAAATATGGTTACTGAAAGTTGCTGATCATGCCATCACGCAAGCGGCTTGGGTCAACAGCACCAGCAGGAGACAGCTCGTATGTTTATCTTGCGTTAACCAGGTGTGGCATTGCTAATGGACGTCCATACTGTTTACCACTGACGCCACACCTGTTACACACCAGCCGCCATCTTCACCTCCCTCTCCAACACCAGCCGCCTCTTACACAAACTTCCCTCCGTCAGTTCAGTAAAGGGGAACTCACGTCACTGCAGTTCACGGAAAAACATGGAAGGGAGAGCACAAAGGGGGGAAAAAAACCCTGCGAGGGGGTGGTTTATTTCTGGCGTACAGATGGCTAGGAAATCGGGCCAACGTATGTTTACTTGTATACCGCGCGGCCATGACTACTTGGGGTGGAAAGCTATGGCAGTGCTCTGGGCCTCTCTCCATTGGCAGCTATACTACATCTTCCTAGCACAGATCGGACCATATTAACTAGGCGGGGGGGGGGGCTGTACCCTGGTTCACGGGGGGCGTGGCTGTACCCCTGGTACACGGGGGGGGCGTGGCTGTGCCCTGGTACAAGGGGGGCGTGCCTGTGCCCTGGTACACGGGGGGCGTGGCTGTGCCCTGGTACACAGGGGGCGTGCCTGTGCCCTGGTACACAGGGGGCGTGGCTGTACCCTGGTACACGGGGGGCGTGGCTGTACCCTGGTTCACGGGGGGCGTGGTTGTACCCTGGTTCACGGGGGGCGTGGCTGTACCCCTGGTACACGGGGGGGGGGCGTGGCTGTACCCCTGGTACACGGGGGGCGTGGCTGTGCCCTGGTGCACGGGGGGGGGGGCGCGTGGCTGTACCCTAGTACACGGGGGGGGGGGGCGTGGCTGTGCCCTGGTACACGGGGGGCGTGCCTGTGCCCTGGTACACGGGGGCGTGGCTGTGCCCTGGTACACGGGGGGCGTGCCTGTGCCCTGGTACACGGGGGCGTGGCTGTGCCCTGGTACACGGGGGGGGGCGTGGCTGTACCCTGGTACACTGGGGGGGGCGTGGCTGTACCCTGGTACACTGGGGGGGGCGTGGCTGTACCCTGGTACACTGGGGGGGGCGTGGCTGTACCCTGGTACACGGGGGGGGGGGCGTGGCTGTACCCTGGTACACGGGGGGGGGGCGTGGCTGTACCCTGGTACACGGGGGGGGCGTGGCTGTACCCTGGTACACGGGGGGGGGGGCGTGGCTGTACCCTGGTACACGGGGGGGGGCGTGGCTGTACCCTGGTACACGGGGGGGGCGTGGCTGTAC